TCGCTATATCTCGAAATATATTTTCCACTGGTGTTTTCCATATCACGGGTGAAGCTCTACTGAGCCGAAAAGATTAGGAGCAAATTCATCAGGAGACTCTCCGGATTGCAATTTCAAATTGAAATCAACAAACTCACTTCCGCTGATTCCTCCAATACTCATCTTGACGAATGGATCCGAGAGACCTCCAGGGTCCGATATGGGAAGGTTCACTGCTTGGTAGAAGAAACCTCTTACGACGTACTCACGGACATCATATCTATTACAACCATATCATAAACAACAACAATATCATAAACAACAACAACAACATCAACATAAACAATAATATTATAAACAACAATAATATCCACATTCTCCACATTTGCATAGTATCAAATTGGCACACACTATAATGAGAATAATTGACATTAGTATAAATCCCAGCGTTAGTGATATGATAAAAGTAACCTTTCGAGACTATGATAGCGACAAGTTGTTCACTATCATTAATCCCGGAATAGACAACACACATTCTCCACATTTGCATAGTATCAAATTGGCACACACTATAATGAGAATAATTGACATTAGTATAAATCCCAGCGTTAGTGATATGATAGAAGTAACCTTTCGAGACTATGATAGCGACAAGTTGTTCACTATCAATAATCCCGGAATAGACAACACGCATTCTCCACATTTGCATAGTATCAAATCAACACGCCAAATTCTCACGCCATTCTCGGCGGTCTCGTCGGCAAAGGCTTGCATCCAGCATTTACTCCACACAGGACATGTGCGGCAACTTGATCCATCTCCTCAGGCACCGACAACATATACCTGCCAACAACAATGGGGTTTCACCCTCTTCACGTGAAGTGGCGTGAAACTCGGATGAAAAACGCGATATTCGCGGTGATATCCAGTAGTCGTAAACTATGTTTTTCATATTACGGGTGAAACTCCAATATCAATTTGACACGGTGACATTCGTATTATGTAAAGAGATAGAGTAGAGAATAACTGAGCATATATGGATAGGAAGAGCACAGCTCAGCTCAGTGTAATGGAGTGTCACCCGTTTTACGTGAAGTGGCGTGAAACTCCGTGAACACATTTGTGGTTTTTTTCATATCGCGGGTGAAAGTAGTAGTTTCAAACTACAGTGGAGTTTCACCCGTGTTATGAAAAACATATTTTACGACTACTGCATAGCGCGAGTATTGCATTTTTCGAAACATGTTTCACATCTCACTTCCTAAAAAAACGTATGCGAGCAATGAATAACGCGTAAAACGCGTAAAACGCTGCGAGTAGTTCACGTTAAATGAGCTGATCTGTCCGGTGTGATTCGCAAAGTGTTTTCAATCCACTTTATATCGCAAATATCGCGTTTTTCACATGGAGTTTTACGCCACTTCACGTAAAACGGGTGAAACAACACTACACTAAGCAGTGTTAGGATGCATGCACATACTCGAGTATACGTGTTGGTGACAATATGGAAATTCCGAGGAAATTTCGGAGAATCCTCATTGGTTTCCGTCTACTTCTACCCGAATTCGTATATAACTAAGGGAATTCCTGAGCTCAGCTGAGGAAAGCGAACATATACTTCAACGCTGGGACCAAGTCCAAGCAGCTTGTCGGTGTACATTTTTTGCCAGACCACGTTATTGCTCCACGTTTTTATCTCTGCCAGAGACAGTCTTGTGAAGGCTAGTTGCTCCCATTCATCATCACTAGCAGCAATCTTTTTCCCAAGCAATGATATGATCAGATCGAACGACTGACGAAACTCCGGTAAGAATCTAATAAAAAAGCATCAGAAAATAGGAGGTTATAGAGCCGGCGTTAGAGTAATGGAGTGTCACCTGTGACGTGAAAAACATATTTCACAAACCATACCGCGAATATTGCCTTTCTCACTAAGAATTGCACCACCTCACGTAAAATGGGTGAAACTCCATTATATTTCTGGATTCCTCAGCAGCGTTGAGAAGTTCTATTCAGGTATAATAATATGACTTCGTGAAGAAATATACAAAAACCAATAATAAATTTCTTCACAATTTCCATATTGTCACCAGCACATGTCGTTGATCATATGCATATGTTTCCACACTCCCTAAGGTCGGACAATTCCTCGATGGTAACTTCCAACAAATTAGGTTTTTAATAGTTTCGAAATTGGAATTTTCAATACATATTTATGCATCGTTGATGATATTTTTATATTCAACAAATTTGAAATATTTTGAAGTAGGGCAATTCAAAATCCATATCAAAAAATGCTCGCGCAAAAAGTTAAAGTTGATTTTCGATCATTTCACTTGAAACACTTGAGCCTCTCCTGAGTTTCAAGACCGTTTGCATGTAGAGGGACAGAGTTCTTAGGACAGCAGTACACAAAGACTTTGCGCGGTGGGTCCGCGCTGAGCTAGCTATAGCCGGGTGATAGGATAGAGAGTTAAGATCATATTTTCCTTTACCGTTCTCACAGTCTTATGGTTGGTAATACTGAGTCTACGGCTAGGGGAGCCTCAAACCACTAACAACAGTATCGAGTTTCACATGTAAAATCAAATCCCGACAGCGCTCTAGGAGCTCAGGAGAGGTCTGTCGGAGTCTCACGATCCGTTTTACGTGAAGTGGCGTAATACTCTGTGGAAAACCCGATATTCGCGGTGATATGCAGTAGTCGTGAAATATGTTTTCCACTAGTGTTTCTCATATCACTAGGGTGGAACTCCAGGACATCGCATATCTTTATTTGCGCACAGCGAAGATTCCTAAGATACGCACTCGAGATTGCCCCTTACACTTGCCACGGCTTCAACCTCCCTTCCTCCTCAAATATAACCGATAACGCATCAAGTCGTTGCACCGGCGTACGAATACTAAACTTACAACAAATACTCCTAGAACGGATTCTACTCACATACGCGTGCGCTCCAAAGGCGAATTCCACAAACACTTCTTCCGGCTCAACAACAGCGTCAAACTCAGGCGTTAGTGCGGCTTCATATCTACTGTTATCAACAGTCACCAGTTTATGCAAAGGTCAACCCACACATCTATCCAGACTATGTGTTCTTTAGTGTCGGGCTCTCTGGGTGCATCACAACTCACCACGGAAGACTGCGGGTCTTCGGACCGCTCAACAGATGCTGATATTAATATACGACCGCCGTACCTGCCGTGTGAAGAACGCACACAAGTTGGTGACAATAAGAAATTATCGTTGCTTTTCTCACACTCCTACCCCTGGTCGTGTGGGAATCTCCAAAGTGTAATGTGAACTATGATAGCGACAAGTTGTTCACTATCATTAATCCCGGAATAGACAACACACATTCTCCACATTTGCATAGTATCAAATTGGCACACACTATAATGAGAATAATTGACATTAGTATAAATCCCAGCGTTAGTGATATGATAAAAGTAACCTTTTGAGACTATGATAGCGACAAGTTGTTCACTATCATTAATCCCGGAATAGACAACACACATTCTCCACATTTGCATAGTATCAAATTGGCACACACTATAATGAGAATAATTGACATTAGTATAAATCCCAGCGTTAGTGATATGATAGGAGTAACCTTTCGAGACTATGATAGCGACAAGTTGTTCACTATCATTAATCCCGGAATAGACAACACACATTCTCCACATTTGCATAGTATCAAATTGGCACACACTATAATGAGAATAATTGACATTAGTATAAATCCCAGCGTTAGTGATATGATAGAAGTAACCTTTCGAGACTATGATAGCGACAAGTTGTTCACTATCATTAATCCCGGAATAGACAACACACATTCTCCCCATTTGCATAGTATCAAAGCCAATCTCTACTGCTCACTCCGACTCAAGCGGCTCATCATTAACCTGTGGTGGAGGCTCCTCTCCTTCGAACGAATAATATCTGATAAACACGATGCTGTGATAAACGCGACCACGAGGATGCGCTCACAGATTGACCCATCTGGTTTGCATTCCCTTATCGTAGATCGCTTGAAAGTCGAAATCAGCAGCGGCTATCATCTCGTTCCTGTCACCCTGGGACATTATTTCTATCAGAACCTTCACAACGATATACACATACTTCAAGTAGTAGTGACGGTAAGTGCGGAAAAATAAGCACATGTATTGGTGACAATATTTTGATCAAATTTCGGAAAATTCTTGTTGGTTTCTATACATTTCTACCCGAATTCACATGTAGACTTCTACAATCAGTGAGGAAACGCCGGAGCTCGGCTGAGGAAAGCGAACACATATTCCAACACTGATGATGATGATGGAAATAATTAAAATGATGAAAATGATGAAAATGATGAAAATGATGATGATGATGAAAATTATGAAAATTATGAAAATGATGAAAATGATGAAAATGATGAAAATGATGAAAATGATGAAAATGATGAAAATGATGAAAATGATGAAAATGATGAAAATGATGAAAATGATGATGATGATGATGATGATGATGACGAGCCCCTTACATTTTGATCCCAAGTAGGGCACATGACCGGCACTCGAAGGCATTCATTCCAAACAGGTCTACTATTGTCCACAATCACTTTAGTCTGCAGTTTCACACCCGCAAATGACACTATTACCTACGAAGAACTCCCCTATCGAATAATAATAATACCCCTTTCTTAATCGACAACGATAACAACACATTTAGATGGAAGCATCCGAACGTATCGGAAATTTCGCATCTTCATGCTGTCAAAATCGAACTCGGATGGAACACAATACGAATAAGACGGAATGACAACTGGGGATACTTTTCGAGTACAGTCCCGAGAGCGATTTACTCATCATAGCGATCACTCTCACACATAGCGTGTGAGAATATGCATATGGTCAACTACGTATAATGAGGAAATTCTTATTGATTTCTGAGCACTTCTACCCGAGTTCTATTTAGTGAGAAAACTCCTGAGCTCAGGTGAGGAAAGGGAACACATACTCCTCGAACACTTACGTAAGGACTGCATGTTGCCGTTCTCCCGAATACACCACCACCACCTTTCTTAGGAAGATTCTCAGCCTTGTAAACCTACGAACGACGCTACAAAAATCGCGAAATTTCACTGGAAAAAAGTCTTTTATTTTGGAAGTTTTTGAGAATAATTTCAGAGTAATGCCCCCGAGTGCTCCAATTGGTCTACCGAGTACAGCAATCGGATTTGAAATCAATTATGCATTGGAGTTTCACCCGAAAGAAAACGCACTTCACAGTCTTAACTCCAACAATTATTGACGTTTCTCACGTTGAAGTTGAGCATGACTAAGTTGAACTTCGAATCGGGGGTCTGTAAGACCCTCTCAGTGATGGAGCTCACAGCCTCGTCCTCATCCGAGATGAGTCGGAAACCACTCGGAACCTCAGAAATAATACAAATAAACCAAGCCGCTCTCATCTTCCGGCTACTTCCTATTTTCATCAATCTACTACCAATCACGAGAGAGTTATTATTACTACTAGAATTAATATAATCGGGTATTACTCGAATACTACCCGAATTACTACAAGAATTAATAGAATCGGTTATTACTAGAATACTACCCGAATTACCACTAGAATTAATAGAATCGGTTATTACTAGAATACTACCCGAATTACCACTAGAATTAATATAATCGGGTATTACTCGAATACTACCCGAATTACTACTAGAATTAATAGAATCGGTTATTACTCGAATACTACCCGAATTACTACTAGAATTAATAGAATCGGTTATTACTCGAATACTACCCGAATTACCACTAGAATTAATAAAACCGGTTATTACTAGAATACTACCGGAATTACTACTAGAATTAATGGAATCGGGTATTACTAGAATACTACCCGAATTGCAACTAGAATTAATGGAATCGGGTATTACTAGAATACTACCCGAATTGCAACTAGAATTAATGGAATCGGGTATTACTAGAATACTACCCGAATTGCAACTAGAATTAATGGAATCGGGTATTACTAGAATACTACCCGAATTACAACTAGAATCATTAGAATCTGTTATTACTAGAATACTACCGGAATTACTACTAGAATTAATGGAATCGGTTATTACTAGAATACTACCCGAATTACAACTAGAATCATTAGAATCTGTTATTACTAGAATACTACCGGAATTACTACTAGTCGCGAATCGTAATTATCGAGTATTGTATCACTCGGAATTCCCAATAATTTCTGAAAAATTCAAGTTCATGCAAAGAAAAAAATCGATTTACTTATTCACAAAGTAGGTCAACTCCACATTGCAACTGAGCGGGGATTACATCGTCCCCCGGGCCGTATATTCCAACACTAACATTAACATATCCTCGCACGTCGCCAGGTTTCTCAGGGAAACTCATGGGCATCCACTGCCTCAACAAAGTGTGCCGAACTAGTGAGTAACTACGGCGAGTGAATCACTGCTTAGTCGAAGTCGATCGCAGTTTGGGAAAATATGCATACGATATGAAATTTTCCGGGAAATTTTCTTTGTTTTCTGTACTTTTCTACCCTAATTCACATATAATAAGTTATGAAACTCAGTCCTGAGATCAGCTGATAAAAGCAAACATATATTCCAACACCAGTTGATCGAGACTTACATTCGACTGAAACCAAACGTACATGCCCCTATGAGCTCATCTTTTCTAAGTGCGTTATGATGCCAACACTGCAGGGTTATCTAATGAGGATAGAACTTCGAACAGTAGTGATGGAAGACCATATCCATGTGTAATTTTACAGCTTAATCGATACTGTGTTGGAGGAATATATCTTCGCTTTCCTCAGCTGAGCTCATAAGTTTTCTCCCTAACTATACAAGTTTACCCCCGGGTTCAGATACGAGTATATAGCGAGTTTCTATGCTTCTATTAGAAACCAATGTAAGTTTCCAAAAAATTTTCCAAATTTTTCTTCTTATCACCAACACATGTGTATATCTTCCCACACTGACTTTGGATCTCTTGAACTCTGCTTTGGCCAGACTTGCATCGAACAGAAAAAAGCAGTTGAACGAACAACTAGCCGTCGCGCTCTGCCAAGTGGTCTCCTTCTCAACATCTTCCTCCTCACCAGGGTAGTCTACTATCACTTTCAAATACCTGCGGTATTCACTTCGATGATAGTTTCTCTTTTTTTACGGGTTTGGCAGTTCAGTGCTTCCTTCAGGTCTTCGAAGTGCGTACACTGAGTGTATATCTACTTTGATTTTCCACTCAGTTCTTCCCATGATAACAAGCAATGTATAATACTGCAAACGATCAAATGCACGTGTCGGTGATGATATGGGAATTAATTTCATTGGAGTTTCACCACCCTAGTGATATGAAAAACATATTTCACGACTACTGCATATCACCGCGAATATCGAGTTTTCACCGAGTTTTACGCCACTTCGCGTAAAACGGGTGAAACTCCATTGCTTTTTCGCGCACCGCCGTATGCGAACTTCATTCGTTAGTGAAGGAACTCCTAGACTCAGCCGAAAAAAGCAAACATATTTTCTTACACTGCAGCACAACACACAATCGCGAGAGCTGCTCATCTTGCAGATTAACCAACACAGTGATAATGAGAACTCCTTTCGTTAGTAATTTGCCCATTGAGATAACACTACACTGGATATAACTGAATGCCTTCCAAGGCCTCTTCATACTTAGCCGACGAAGGCTATCTTCATCATAAGCTCAGTTGCGGGAATCCTTGAGCCTAGAGAGACATCTTGTGTTCTACGGGGGATTGGGACAGCGACAATGATGCAGCAGCATCTTACACTATCCTAAATAGTAGGGTTGAAAGCAAAATATCTGTGTCTCGCGATAGACACCAACCGCATCACACAGGGAGCCCATAATATTCCCGGGGGGAACTCATCAAATATTCATAGCGATGTTTACGTTGTTTATGCAATACAGTTTCACAATGATTCTCGAAAAACAACACACATTCCTCCATCTGCATATTAAATTGACACACACTGTAAAGACTATCACAACTTCTCGTATTCCGTAAGCATCTGCTACCACACATTTCGTGTCGTCAACTTCATACGCAAATGTTACAACTCAACACACTGTTTTGAAACAGAGGCAACCTAAACTAAGCACTCAAAATTTGACCATGCAATGCAGCCACCATCTCTTGTTCTGGTTCGACGTTGATTATTATACTTTTGCCAGTCGGGTTGAGAGGGTCGGGGAATTCGAGGCGGCTCAGCTGCATATAGGGAAGCCCATCGCTGTTCTCTACAATATCGAGGCCCCCTTCAGCAAAATGCGCCTGAGGAACGATCGTAATCTCAATTGATTCAGCAATCGACGCAACTATGAAGGAATAGGGTAGAGTCAAAGCAGAAAACTCTTTTTCAATTTTCAAGTGGACTCCCTGGGTTGACTCCAGTGACTATGTTGTCTGAATTTTCGGTTAAAATCGGTGGCCCCCTTTCCCGGGGGGGGGGGGGGGCAGTGAACCTGGGCCTCAGGAGGATTGCCCAATTTGCCCATCCTTGTGTACGGCGCTGATTGACTTTGACGTGAATATGCTGTCAACAAAAATTATGTTGATGTCCCGATATGAGTTGCTCTAGGCTATACGGCTCTATTGAGTAATAAGTGGCGACTCTAGTTGTGGTGAGATGTTCCTAATAGGCTTTTCAGATTCAACAACACAGGATGCGCTACAATTCCCTCATCTGTAGCTCCCGAAACTGTATGTGTATAGCACATATACACCCACGACGACAGATGACGAGGAGGAAGAGGGGGAAGAGGAGGAAGAGGAGAAAGAGGAGGAAGAGGAGGAAGAGGAGGAAGAGGAGGAAGAGGAGGAAGAGGAGGAAGAGGAGGAAGAGGAGGAAGAGGAGGAAGAGGAGGAAGAGGAGGAAGAGGAGGAAGAGGAGGAAGAGGAGGAAGAGGAGGAAGAGGAGGAAGAGGAGGAAGAGGAGGAAGAGGAGGAAGAGGAGGAAGAGGAGCCTACCGTGATGTAGCCGGGCTTCGACGGGGTTGTCATCACCTCATACATGCAGAGATCGCCAACCCCGGCTTCAACGAGTCGGAACTCCGTACCAACAGTGGAATCATTCGAGGAGCATTCGACCTGATAGTTGCTAACCAAGAAGTAAATTTAAACAGAGTTTCACCCGTTTTACGTGAAGTGGCGTAATACTTTGTAAAAAAGGAGATATTCGCGCTATACAGTAGTCGTGAAATATATTTTTCACATCACTAGGGTGGTGTCTCACCGGTTGCCACCGTTGATCATCCTTAGACCAGCTCATGCACGACTCGACAACGCCGTACTCCAGTAGTCGTCCGTCTGGACTGAAAAAATCGGTCGAGTGAGGCGACAGGGCAGGTCGGGCCAGCAACCGAAAGGTCTGCCGCAAGGCATGCCTGAAGCAATAAACTGCCTACGATAATAAAGCTGAGATAAATAGCAGATTGTCCAATTTTTCTTTTTCTTGTTTGCAATTTTTTATATGAATGAGAAATCATCACAAGCCCAGTCCGAACGTTCATTAAGAGCCTCTGTTATTGTTACGACAACAATCAGCTTCTCACATACTCTCGATAATGCGTCTTGAACTGTCGCGATATGCTCTTGTCAGTGCAGACCACACACAAGCCTGCAACGCCGACTTCAACATTGATCGGGAAGTGCCTGAATACCACACTTTGTCCACATCTACAGTGCGTGCTAATTTGATATGCGAATTTGCGTTATTTTTTTAAGGTTAATAAGACTCAATCTAAAACTATATCGCATATACAATGTAACAATGGCTATGAACATGTGTTGTGATGAAAGTACCCGTTTAGGACTATGATGATAGCGACAACTTGTTCACTATAATTTGCCTTCCAAAATAACACACATTTGCATATCGAATTGACACGTCCTGTATGATTATTGGCTTACAATTTGCCGTCCCTCAATCGATCCCGTGGTTGGTCAATCTCGTCAGGTAATGGAAGGTCCTGCTTCATGCGATCGAGCTCCTCGTTTTGACCGGAGTGGATCTCTGGGCTCGAGTTGCCGGGCAAGAACGGGGTAACTGTCGAGCCAGTTGTGAGAAAAATGATTTTTATTTGCAGCAAAGAATTGAGGGGAAATTTTCTCTCGACGACGCAGTAGTGAACTGAAGAGGAGCTCAGCTGATCAGCTGTACTCTGTATGGTTGAAAGCCTCAAAGACATACGCATATGCGAGCGACGTCGGTGAACAGCTCAGCGAGTATGTGACTGTACTCAGTGTGCCACTGCTCGCTAGAGCGATCCTATCGAACTTGGAGCCCATTATTAACCTCGTTGTGTTGGGTATAGCATATCATTTTAATGAGATACTATCGATAGGGAAGATGTTGATTGCTGAGTTGTGTAATGTGATTCCGCATGTATGATACTGTGGTAATATTATTGCCCGGAATTCCAATCTTCGATATCCCACAACGTTTGCCGTGGGGGGGTTCATTGATCGTCGTGAATCCTCGTTGAGTTTTATTCTTCATTCGTCTATGATGAAAAACTCCAAAAGTACTTCCGCAATATGACAGACTCGAATCATCAAAGGAAAAAATTTACGGGGAAAGTATCCAAAAATGAGAGAAGTGCAGTCAACACGTGAGCGATGTGAAGTGACCCCCTCCGACCTACAGGTAGTTTCTAATGAAGGCCTCCCAAGAGCCGTCCCATCGTTCCTCATAGACCACCCGTAAGGCTTGTACACAACACAATAGCGATGTTCCCAAGTATTGAATACCACTCGAGGAAGCAGTGATGTGTGCTTTGGTAACCGAACAGGACGCGACAGCTGCCATCGACCAAGTGAAGACAACATTCCAACTTGCAACATATGGTAGAGTACTCTCGCGACTGTGGTCCTCAGTTTTTACCAAAAACCATAAAAGCTACTAGTATCAAACACAAAGAAGCGAATCGTGCAGCTGATAGTATAAGCAGTCTTTGATCAACACAACCAGCGTTAAGCAGCAGCAATTTGTAATGAGAAGTTTACAGTGTGGGGGGAAATATGTACATGGTCAACTACACGTCGGTAACGGAAAAGTTTTCGGGAAATTTCTGGGAAATTTTCGGGAAATTAGTGGGGAAATTTTCGGGAAATTCCTGTTGATATCTGAATGAGACTTTCTGTGCACTTCTACCTCGAAAAAATTCGTATGTAATTAGTGAGGAAACTTCTTAGCTAGGGAAAGCAAGCATTTACTCCAACAATTCAAGGGCCGCTATGCCACTACCCCAAGATATGCCTTAGCACAATCAATTTCTCTACCTGGGGCGGCTATGCCACTGCCCCCAAGATATGCCTTAGCACAATCAATTTCATTACCTGGGGCGGCTATGCCACTGCCCCCAAGATATGCCTTAGCACAATCAATTTCTCTACCTGGGGCGGCTATGCCACTGCCCCCAAGATATGCCTTAGCACAATCAATTTCTCCGACTGGGGCGGCTATGCCACTGCCCCCAAGATATGCATTAGTACGATCAATTTCTCCGACTGGGGCGGCTATGCCACTGCCCCAAGATATGCCTTAGTACAATCAATTTCTCTACCTGGGGCGCCAATGCCACTGCCCCCAAGATATGCCTTAGTACAATCAATTTCTCTACCTGGGGCGGCTATGCCACTGCCCCCAAGATATGCCTTAGTACGATCAATTTCTCCGACTGGGGCGGCTATGCCACTGCCCCAAGATATGCCTTAGTACAATTAATTTCTCTACTTGAGGCGGCTATGCCACTGCCCCCAAGATATGCCTTAGTACAATCAATTTTCCCACCACGACCGCAGTAACTCCAATTCTACTGAGTTGTCGATTCAATTCCACTGTTAGTAAGGCCGATTCCATTCGAGGGGCAGATATGCCATACCTCGACTACAACGCGCGTATCCTTTTAGAAGAGAAAACTCTGGCGGTTATTCAGCAGCAGGAATCTACTCCTAGGAAAAGAAACCAGTCCTGAGATAACAGCACCAGGATTACAGTAAGTACCATGCTATTCCGTAGCTGGTTACAGCAGCACTCGGCTCAATCCTGATGAGGGATTCCCACACACTGGCAAACACAAAGCAAGGATGAGGTGGTAATCCTACCGCTGGGCAACTTAGAAACCGATGGGTGGAACGAATGAGTACAGGGAAAGTAACAGAATGATGGACTAAGAGAAAGAAGGTGTCGGGCTTCTCCCAACATAGAGCGTTACCCAATGGGTTATTAATGTGCCCAAATATGCGAGACGGGCCAAGGAGAATGACGAAAATGGTCCTGATAAGCGCGGTAGTCGGGAACATCTCATTTAAACGTTGGGAGTGTTGTACAGTGTACAGTGTGCACAAACAATGCACACAACAACTAGTTGGAGGCTTCTACGCAACAAGAGTCTTCCTTCCTTTTATCGCTCTAACAATACGTTCAGCGTTGTCAACCATTGGACGTCTGCACAAAGGACAGCAGACCGATTTGACTACTTCAGTGAGGCTGTCGGAATGTTTGGAGAGCAAAGGGATCGAACCCGAGATGCACGCTCGGACACAAGAACGATGATACATGTGACCACAAGGAAGCTCCGCTAAAGTTTCTCCTTTCTCCCAGCGTTCTAGACATACAGCACAGTCGTCCACATAGGGCGCGAACACCTCTTTTGTGGACTTCTTGTAGATTATATCAGCCACCTTACTGCACTCGTTGGCAGTGAGCACAACTGAAAAGTGGAGAGACCTTAATACCGTCCATGCAGCGAATAATACAGGAACAGCAACCTGAGTTTAAGTAAGCATGAAGACACGACCAAAGCTGAATGCTCACCAGGAAGATGAATAAAGCCAATAAAGTGTATTGCAACCATGGAGAGAGACCTAAGGCTTCGGCAGTCATCCATGCGACCAACAGGAGTGATACACCTGATCGAACCCAACAAGATTACTACTGAGGAATCGAACGCTACGTTATGTACTGACGCTATCATATTACAAAGCAAAATTAGAGATAAAGTGTAGGGTATTGATGATTGACGAATACCCCTTCCACACCCTAGTATTACCAATAACCCATGCCAGCCGCTTGACGAGGTCGAGCCAATTAACGATGGGGGTACAATATCGCATGAGGAGAAGACGGTAACTAGGCTGGTATGAGCAAGATTTCAACAAGGACTAACCCAGAACGGGACACGCAGCATGGAAACTGATTTCCACATCACATGACGGTTCACCGAGCATCTTTTTAGCAATCAGATTGTGGACGCACGGAGTCTTCAGAAGGCAACAACTCCATCGTTATGACTGTGTACAGGTTGACCATAGCGAGGGCCCTCCATCGTTTGAGGGCGGCCAATACTGTGCACACATTAAAGGGAACAGGACTGTCAACTGAGGGCTGCCTTGTGGTAGACATAGAGCTAGGGCAATCAATAGAGGAGGCTCGCCAACTCACTTGAGACGCGAGAACAGAAGGAGACTAGGGATCTATTAAGCAATGTCCGTGCGAATGCAACTTGTTTCACCACGTTGAGCCTTGTCCCGAGACTCGCCATTGACACGTCGTTGAGACCGAATTATAGACGTCTGTCACAGAATTGAGAATACGAGACATTCATCAACCTCGAGCAATAACGGACAACCAGAGCCCGTAAAGATGCAGGTAGGACTAGGGAGAGAAGTACTTGCATACTACTGTAGTACTACAACATATTTCGACGCATCGTGGTATTACGATAATGTGTGGAAATATGTTGACAGTCGTATGTTCGTATGCAAATATGTTAGCCTTACCGGTGATCGCGAATACGATCAACAAGTGCCGTCTACTAAAGGCAACAGGAAGAACATGTGATCCGTTCAAGAGATGGCACAATTCAACAGTAGATTAAATACATAGTGCCGTATAATACAGCCTCGTAAAGACCTACTCGAGTGCTACCTTCAACGTGAGGCGTTACATCAGGTAGAGATATCCAATCGACTTTATTAAGCGCTGCCGCACTTACAGAAAAAAGGGGAGATTTATGCGGTCGAGCCAATCCTCGGGGATCAGACTAATGAAATGGATGTATGAGTGATGACAATCCCGACCCTAGTTTCGATGTGACCAGTTCACCGTGGTCGGGCAAAGGTAAGAAAAGTCATGGCAAAAAATTGGCGTTAAAAAATTAGTGAATGCTCGCTTCGCTCCGCCCTCGTGCACGCATGCGCATGTTGCGGTGTCTCCAGCGTCAGACTTGAGCGGGGCGTATGAGTTTGTTTTCTACCCTTTCACTCGCCCCTTTATCACCTCTGCCTCATACCTGCTTTGCTCGATACTAACTCGGTGTGATGAAAATAAAAAGTGAGATTCCGTCATTACTCGAAACTAACGTGTTGGCTTGTCAGCATTTGGAATTCTGTGCTGACTCTATCTCTTCTACCATGCCATTGATGCGATACATACCTCGGGTCAATCATTACAGTCCTTGCCGTTTCATGCTTGATAACTTGATGGAGCTCTCTTTAAAAAGACTATTGAAATAGGTCAGATTCCAATGAAATTGAACTCGTGATGGAAGTAATGTTTAAGTAAGTTCTCAAACAGCCAGCCATAATACACAATGATTCATCGTTATTAGAAGATGCTGAGAATTTGATAACTCCTTGTATTTGAACTCTGGGTACCTGTCTTCGTTCAGCGGTTGGTTTCATCTCGGGGGGTCATGCCGGTTGCGCCGATCTATCCCGTCTTCGTCGATGGTCCTGTGGTGACGACCGAGCCCTTGCCGCCTCTCGAGGGTGGTAGCAAGCACTTCTCGACAGAGTGTGCGGTCCACAACTTCCGCCCTACCAATTTGCTCGGTGAAACGTACCGTAACTATGAGAATTCATCAAGACAGAAAACAGTAGAACTTAATTACAAGAAACAACACGAAAACATGACGGTTGACACAGTCCGTAGACTGCACAAAAAGTGGCTCGGATTTGATCACGGTCAGTACACCATCATGGAGATCCTACACGAGTTAGATCACCTCGTGGACGACAGCGATCCCGACGTGAGCATACCCAATTCTGTGCATGCTTTCATGACCGCTGAGGCCATCAGGAAAGTGCACCCAGACAAGGACTGGCTTTGGCTCACGGGCTTCTTACATGACCTTGGTAAAGTGATGTCGTGCTGGGGTGAAGAGCAGTGGTGTGTCGTTGGTGACACCTTCCCAGTTGGTTGCGAGTTCAGCAAGGACATAGTGTTCTCTCATCAGTTCGAAGGGAACCCGGACTCAAGGCACGCACTATATTCCACCAAGTATGGTATGTACGAACCTCAGTGTGGGCTCGACAACCTCCTTATGGGCTTTGGTCATGATGAGTATCTCTACCAAGTGCTGACCAACCATCCAACCTGTACTCTTCCCCCTGAGGGTCTCTGGTGCGTCCGCTACCACAGTTTCTACCCCTGGCACGACAAAGGTGCCTACAGCCACTTAATGGCTCCTGAGGATTCTGCTAAGGTCGATATTGTCAAAGAGTTCAATAAGTTCGACTTGTACTCGAAGGGAGACGACTTGCCTGAGGTGGCTCAGCTCGAACCCCTGTACCTGGCCCTAGCCGAGAAGTACGGTCTTGGCGGCAAGATTCGTTGGTAGCGTTGGATTCATCCGTTCACGACGAGATCGTTCTCGTCATTTCTGTGAGGATGAGTTCATGTCGTTGATTTTTTACATTGTGACTGTGTACTTTCATGTTGCTTGCTTTTCGTTTTCATATCCGAGTTCGGTGCCTCTCGGACGGAGAGTCTCCAAGTGTTGCGACCGCGTTTAGTGGCACGCACAAACGGTGGCTCTCCAGGAACGTGCTTGGAGTCACTTTACCCCTGAGCTGTAGGTTTGCTGTCCTACACTATCCCGACCGTCATTGCTTTGATACTGTGGAATCTGTTGCGTTACGCCGAGTACTGTTCGCCTCATAATCTCGTTATAGTGGCTGGCTCTTCTCGCATAATATCAATTCCGATTGGACGAATCTTTAGACGATTCCCCTTGCCACTGACATTGGGCTTCCTTGGTCATTGAAGCTATGAGTCTCTTGACTTATACAATAGCGCCATACTGGGGAGAAGAAACGATCCCGATAAGGTCCAGCGAACGGGAGAATTCGAGTCAGGAAAGGAGGGTCCTACCCTCGCATGGGGTGTACTATACATGTGGTACTTGAAGAACGCGAAGCGCCGTACATTAGTGATTGAGATAACACTACACTGGATACAGTTGAATGCCTTCCAAGGCCTGCTCATACTTAGCCGACGAAGGCTATCTTCATCATAAGCTCAGCTGCGGGAATCCTTAAGCCTAGAGAGATGCCTTGTATTCTACGGGGGATTGGGACAGCGACAATGATGCAGCAGCATCTTACATGTAGCAAGTTGCATAAAGCAATATCTCAAGGGTCGCAACAGATAGACTGCACTGTGTGAGTCAATCAACAGAAACTAAAGACGGAGCTAAGAAATCGAATTCCTCACCGCCTCCAAATAGAAGCAGCAAGTCGAAAAACAATAACTCGACTCCAAACAACTACACGCGTTCATCATGGCATCGAACAGTAAACCCACTGATTAAGTGTTCTAGTACTCAACGCAACATTAGTACTGCTCAGTGAACAGTGTTCACGCTCCTCCACAGTCATCTCCACCGATGAAACTGTGCACATGATCTTTCTCATCACTACAACAATAGGTATTTAGTGGCAGCACTTCGACTAGCTGTCTATGCGCACGAGGCACCTCAGTGAGCTCTCGGTACGCAGTATCAATTCTAACAGAAGACCTGCTGCCGGCTAGGCACTCTAACAGGTCGAGAATAAGTCGGCTGAGCGACGAACAACAGCAGCAATTAGAGCAGGGCAGTACTCTGGCAGCAGTAAATACACAGACTACAATACGGGAGATCCAACGGAACTCTAGTTGCTACTGCATGAAGAGAATCAAAAAGTCTATTACATCATCTATGAAATGGAGGCCATTGAAATTCACATAAGCCGCACTTAGAAAATGAAAGTATTGATGTTACATCACAGAATTACGCGAACCATCACCGTGAAAGGAAACCGCGACCAAGGAAGCCGCGGAATTATAACACCGGCTGTGAGACTGCGCCTGGACGACAGCAGCTCATAGTAACCCATGCTTTGGTGATGAAATGTGTTGGCTTGGTCATTGATCAGTAAGTCGGGTGCGCCCTCCGACTCGGAACTTGAGACGCCTCGTGGATCAAAGCGAGGACTTCCGAATGACCTGAACATGATATCGCTCCCAAAAACCTAGAAAAGATAGAATACCTGGTTCTTTGGAAAGTCTTTGACTCCTCTTCGTTGCCCTCATCGAAGTAACCATAGACTCGATGTCTCTAACGCGGACGGCTGCCACAGGAACTACGTAAGTCCCCAGCAATGCAGTAACCATGGATGTGCGTAGAGCAGAACGCAACGAGGGCATAGGAAAGCGAAGGAGCGATAACGCAAGTCTGTTAAGTGTAAGTCTCCACGGCGAGATGTGGATGAGGGATCACATATAAACCCCACGCTATGATTCTTATGGGCTTCTAGATGCTGGCATGAAACGGTTCACAGTGAGTAGCTCCCTACCGTTTCACATTCTATCAGTATCCTGGCGGGCGCGTGCGCACCTAAGGGAAGAAGGCTGCTAATTCATAAACCCTCTATCGTTGCTACCGTTCAACAGTTCCTTGAGGCAATATGGTAGATGAAATGTTAAGCGATCGTGAGCCTGAGCCATGACGCGCTGTTTCGTGAGCCATGTTGCCAAAGTTTGATGCAGTTGTGGCATGAATTAAGAGTGAATCCCTACACGGAACT